GAAAACACACACACACACACACACACACACACACACACACACACACACACACACACACACACACACACACACACACACATACACACATACACACACACACACACACACACACACACACACACACACACACACACATACACAAAAACACAGACACAAAGATAATTTTTACTCTTCTTCATATGGTGTGTTTTGTTTCAAGTTTTCGAAAATGGTTGATTTGGTTCGAACCTTCTGTAATGTAGTTTGAACTGTACTTCAACTACAGAATTTTCTCTACGTTATATATAAGGAATTAGTGTCAGTGCTTAGTGACAAGCGCTTCACTGCAACTTGCTTTGTAAAACTTGTTGAGTCCATGAGTGGCTTGTAGTATCTGCTTGAGTGTAGAAAAAAAAGGTTTCGATGCATTGTGAGTCACTGGAAGTAAATACATAAGACTATAGCACCTGCTCTTGATGCTTACTACAGGCTTCAGATAAATAAGATATGATTCTAACATGAGTTGATGGATGATTCCATAATATGAAAACTCTCAGCACTCTAATTCTAAATAGTGAGTCTGAAAATATTTCTTATGCTTGTATAAAACTGCTAAAAAGCTGCTTTTTGATAACAGTATTGTTTACAGTAATGATAGACTTTTCGCTTGACTCTATGTTAACATAAGCAAAAAAATCTTTCAGACTTTTTAGACCAATGTTAAAAGGTTTTGCAGTCTGATTTCTCTCAAAATTTTAATTCTTTTCACAAGAGCCACAAAAACTAGTTATACTATGACTGGCTCACAAACCCTTTATATCACGAAACTACACCGTTCTCATTTTTCCCTTTAAGGATCTTGAAAAGAAACAAACTCAGTGACATAATCGAAAACATTTTCCCTGTTCGTATCCCCCCGCACGAGGCTGGGAGTGGAGGCGCCCCAGCAGAGCAGAGATGATAACGATGACCTTCATTTTCAGAGAACCTTAGACCGCCCGGCTCGCTTACAGAGGCGGTGATGAGCTACACACATAAGGTACACAGAGCGGGGATGTGTGTAGGTAGAGAGTAGATGGTAGATCATGTAGAAGCCTAATTCCAGGGTATTAGTAGATTTACACATGTTGCTCATTAGCCGTAGAGTTCCGTTGGTTCAAGTAGATGATGCTCTTTGGTAGTTATAAGCTTGTGTTCCTGACTGCTTGTTCCTCCATGGTGCCTGTTAGACATCTATTATCTTCTAGGGGTAACTACTGTCTTCTAACAACAAACTCTAATGTTAACACTATGACTGGATACCATGGATTTTTGTTCTTGCCTTTGGTATACTTAGAAAGACACACGAGAAGTTTCTACTATTTAATAACTACGTGTTTCTTGTTATTAATAATTTGACGAATACTGTTGAATTGTTTGCAGATAAACGCTTGTTTTCATGTTAACACTGTAAAATACATTATCGTTTGACAGCTAATATTGCTAAAAGATACTGTATTAGCTATCGATATTGATGAAGTGACAAAAATTTCATAGTTTCTGATATTCACTTATGGTATATTTCATTTTAAAAAATAATTTTCCTTTTGTTCAAATTTATTCATTTAGAATATACATAACACTGACCCGTAGATATAGACTGAATTATTCTAATTAAAGTATAAAAAGTTATCAGGTGACGGATATTTTATTCATTAATTGCAATTTTCACAAGACTGATAATTTGACACATCGAGGCGAGGATGCGCTTGACAGATAGGCGATGATTGATGACAGTTTGAAAGGTTGGCGAGGATAATTATTTGAAAAGCAGCGATGATATTCCGACATAATGTATTCGGCCGACCATCATCAACCTGTCAAGTGCATTTTCGCCCCCCTCAAAAAAAAAAAAAAAAAAAAAAAGTATCCTGAAACGTATGACTAAAAGATGATGATGATGAAGGAAAAAAGAAAAAGACGCAAAAAAAAAAAGAGGACAAAGAAGTAGGAAAAGAATGGGGAAAAACAAGGCTAACGAGAAAGAGACGGGGAGGGAGGAAGAGAAGGAGAGAAAAGAAAAAAAACAAAAAAAAACAAGCAGGAGAAGAATCATAGGCAGAAGGAAAATAAAATAAAGAAGAAGAGGAGGAATTCATCATCTTTCCTGCAACATTTCTATAATTGCATATGGGTAATGAATATTAAAGATTATAATGAACCATTATATGCCTGGTGGTGACCCATACTTTTCCGATAAGACCAAATCGTTTGAAAAGTCGGAATGATCAGTCGTGTCGTATCTATATATCTATCTGTGTATCTACTTTTCTGTTTATATGTCTATTTATCTTTCTATGTATCTCTGTATACATCTATCTAGCTATCTGTTTATCTATCCATCCATATATGAGTATCTGTCGATCTATCTACTTACTTATACATCTACTTTTATCTATCTATCTATTCATCAATCCATCTACGAGCATCCATTTATCCATTCATCTGCGTGTATCTACCAGTTTATCAATATGTCGCTCTACTCATTGATCTACGAGTGTTCATCCATCCAATCCATCCATCCATCCATCATCCATCCATCCGATGATCCATCCATCCCCACCCACCCACCCATCAATCCCTACCTCCATCCCTATCCATCCATCCTATCCATCTATCTGCCTGTCCAACCATCCATACACCCACCCATCCTTCCATACACCTACCCCTCTATCTTACCATCCATCCATCCACCTACCTATCCACCTATCCCTACCTATCCATCCATCCACCTACCTATCCATCCATCCACCTACCCATCTATCTATCCACCTACCTATCCATCCATCCACCTACCTATCCACCTATCCATCTATCCATCCATCTATCGTCTCCGGAGCGCGGCGAGGATAGAGCGAGCGGGCGAGAGCAGTCCCGGCAGCTTCCTTATCATCATTTCTCGTAATTGGATCACCTGGCGTCATCCGTCCCGTAATGACTCATCAGTTTCTATCAGTCTAGTGCAAAGCCTCGTCGCGGAAGCCTCTAAGCCTCTTGTTCATTTTCTTTGTACTCGTATTTTTTTTATTATTGTCTTTGTTGGTTTTTTTTCCGTTTATTTATTGTTTTGTCATCGATTCCCTGTTATCTCTCTATCACGTGTCTTCCTGATGTTCTGTTTCTGTATATTTTTTATTCCGTGTTCACTTTTTTTTTTTTTTTTATAGATATAGCTTATTTCACCTTACTCATTTCTTTTTATTTTCCTCGTTTCTCTACCTTTTCAACACTCTTAAGCAGTATTTTTTATTTATTTTTGACACTCCTACTTTCTCCTCCAACATTTTCCCCTTAACTTTTTTTTTTTTTTTTTCTGCCCTTCTCCCCTCCTCCCATACTTTTCCTTGCAATATTTCCACCCTTACTATGCAACACCGAAATCCCATCGTATTGCAGTGCAACGTCGCGTCCGTGTACAATGATATCGCAAAAACATATTAGCACAACAAACATTGTACGGAGTTTGTCCTCCCCTTTCTAGTATAACGAAGGGGCGAGGCAGCGTGGTAGCGGGAGTGAGAGAGAGAGAGAGAGAGAGAGAGAGAGAGAGAGAGAGAGAGAGAGAGAGAGAGAGAGAGAGAGGAGAGAGAGAGAGAGAGAGAGAGAGAGAGAGAGAGAGAGAGAGAAAGAAGAGAGGAGAGAGAGAAGAGAGAGAGAGAGAGAGAGAGAGAGAGAGAGAGAGAGAGAGAGAGAGAGAGGAGAGAAAGAGAGAAGGAGAGAGAGAGAGAAGAGAGAAGAGAGAGAAAGAAGAGACGAGAGAGAGAGAGAGAAGAGGAGTAGGGAGAGAGAAAGAGAGACGAGAGGAAAAGAGAACGAAAGAGAGAGAAAGAAAAAGAGAGAAAGAACGAAAGAGAGAGAAAACGAAAAGAGAGAGAGAGCCAGAGCGAGAGAATGATAAAAAGATAGAAAGGAAAGATAGACAGAGAGAGAGAGAGACTGAGAGACTGAGAATGCGAGAGAGCGAACGAGCCACGTATCTCACGCGGGGCTAAACGACCCGTCCTTTGTACAGCTCGGGCGATGTTCCCACTGGGACTATCACAACCTCTTTCGTTTTGGGCCTTTTTTCCCTCTTTTCTTGCTTCACCTTTCCTCTGTTTATACTATTTCCACTTTCTCTTTCATCTTTTCTTCTTTATCCATTCATTTGTATTGCTTATTATTACTCAGAGGGCATCGGGGGAGGAAGAAAGACTAGTCTTCGGGTAGGAGGAGGAGGGTCAGGCCATTTTGAGCTCTGTAACCTAAAGCCTTAAAGCTCAGTGTCGCTTGCCTGGCGGAATCTCTCCAAAGGGCACTAAACGAAGGAGGCCGTTGGCGGACGCATGGGGAGGGGAGGGGGGGTGATGGGGTGACTGCCCGCGCACACTTCGCTGATAAACATGTCTCGACAGTAGCTGCCTACTTACTGGCTCTCGGAGATAAGGAGAACGTAATATTTCTATTAGATTATGGTTCATTTACATATATTAACTCCCTACTTTTTCTGTAGGGCTTAAGAATATAAGAATGTTTTATGTTCCTTTAGTTAAAAGATCTACCGTTCAAAGATAACTTTCTTGTCGTCTGGATCATTAATATCCACTTCGTAATAACCCACCGTCATGCTAAATGTTGACATTCTAACTGGCAATTAACCTTACGGTGGCCACTGGCAATAAATATTTATGTCACCATAATAAACTCTAACAGCTGTCTGTATGAGTATACTAACCTTTCATGGTCTTAACCCTAATTTGTCTTTAATATTGATGATTCCAGAACTAACCTAACGGAGAGATATCCCCGTTGTTACTATTTCAACCTTTACATTTGCCCTTTGATATCCTTCAACATAGAGTACCATCAACCACATCAATAAATCTTGCAATTTCCTTTCTCTTCACGTATTTACATGAATTATTTCCAGCCCACTGGCGCACCAGCGTGCTCGCCTCCGCCACGCGAGTCCGTTCCCTTTAACTAAAAGCTTTCCTCCCCAGAACACCTCCCTGGAGAGTAACACGAGCGCCAACATCCCGCCAGTCATGAGAAGATTCCGAGGGCGCAGCCAGCACGGCGCCATGACCAAAGCCCAGTCTTTCACCGCCATCGGGCGCCAGAGCTCTCTGGAGACCGACGTGTGAGCAGCAGCAGCAGCGCCCTCGGCAGGCCCAGGACCAGCCTTGCATGGGGACGGCCCAGGACCAATCCAAGGAAGGAGGGCTTGGTGAGACGAGAGGCCGAGCTCGCAGTCAACGCTCCTTCCCCGTGCACGAGAATACTTAGGGAGAAGAAAACAAGGTCTTGGAAGAAACCTTGAGATCTCAGGATGTGTAAGCATAGACAAGACGGGGCTCCAGTCGTGACCGAACCATATTACAAATTGAATGGTGTTCACACGGACTTGGTTATAAAGTTCCAACGGAACTGTTTACTGGTGTTATTGCATAGGTTATTGTGTTGAGGGTGGTCATCACAAACCACTTTTACACTGAAAACGTTTCTTTTCATTTAGAAAGTTAGTTAGCCAGCTCCCCGTGTCTGCCAGACCTGTGGCTGGTTTCCACACATGAATTTACTCACATCACGGTCTTCCATGGTGCTGATACTGTTAAATGACAACGCTCGCTAGATGTACAGAATCCTGCCCTTGCCTGTTTATTTCTACTCGCCAGAACCTGGGTATGCTGCTTGCTCGGACGGGAACTCCAGGATCAGTTAGTTAAGATAGTTAAGACGATAGAGGTGTTATCAATCACGAACTACAGCATATAAAAGATCGGGAGTTCTTGTTCAGAGGCGACAGATCCTTGCAGATGTTGGGCGTCCTGCATTAGCCTTTCCGAGCACGGCAGTCGCCCTCAATTCCTGGCGGGTAAGAAGCCTGTATATTAGGGAGGCCCGAGTCTTCCGGCCTCGGGATTATTCATGTATAATTACTATAGTTAATCAAGAACACTGAGTTCATCGTATTTCAAGAAGAGACTACATTCTACACCCGATTATGAATGTTTGTTATCCTCACGGTGGATGCAGGCTACGTCTTGGACAGGAGCCAATGACCGCCATAAAAAAATGTTAAAACACGTAAAAATCAGACAAGGTTTTTCAGTTCCGATTAATATAGATTATTAGAAGACCAGATAACATTTCTTACAAGGTGCTATTCTCATACAAGGGGCGATATGTCTCTAGTCAGAGGGTTCCTGTCCTCCCCCAAAACCTGTTACTCGGTGGTGTTATCATTTGTTTATAATGGATGTACTTTGCCCTTCCGTTGTCTGTTTCACATATCATGTCATGTTCTGTTGCGTCTTGCTGTAGTGCCACAACGAGTTTATTATTGTCAAGAAATTCTTTCTTTTTACAAATTATTTATAACGTGGAGGTAAAGGCGCCTGTCATAGTTACAGTCTCTGTTATATTCACTATTTTAACATTAATGAGCTGTTTATCAAGAGAGCATGTATCATATAAATATATTTTTTAATTTCCCTGTTGAAAACGCTGTTCGCCATTATTTAATGGTTATTTAATAGACAGGTTATAAAGCTTCGGCTTTGTAACTTTAGCCCAAACACGTTTTATGTTATTCTTATACTTCCAACTTGCAAGTTTCTCGTCCCTTTCCATTCGTTTAAGGTAATGGTACATGTGATCAAGAAACTTGGCAGTGAGGTTCCTAGTCATTTTCTAACTAGTCAATAAATCATCGTTTGCATCTCGTACGTAATTTATTTGCCAATAAGAAACTCAAGGCAAGCAATCCTGCTCCGTGTACAGATAATTTACTCAACCCTGGTATGGAGATGGTGGTTTCTGGCCGAGCATCGCATCTGAAGAGAATTTTCTTAGAGGAATTCCAGAAAGATCCACACCATAGATGCCTTTTGCATGCAGGCTGGCGTCACCATCTTTATATTGGCATATGCATCACCTGTTATCTTGACAGTACTCACCGTGTATATATTGTAAACAAGGTCTTCTCTTATCCTGATGAAAATGTTGCATGGATATAAGAAATTAGAAGGATTTTACAATCAATTAAATGTTTTATTTACAAAAATGTATTTTCTTCCATCCAAAGAACGAATAAAAAGTCGGTATAACTTAGGTTTTACAACCCTCACGTGACAACCTGCGTGGGGATCCTCCCGAGGACGCCGCTCGTCTCGAGGACCACCTCCGTCGCCTCCGTGAGCTCGTCCAGCTCTCGCACGACCAGCCGCAGACTGGACATCAAGTCCTCCATGCTGACGTACTCGCCCTGACTCGCCCTCAGGTGGGCCACGGCCTGCTCCTTGGAGGGCAGCATGGCCAGGCCCACCAGGTAGAACTTCTCCACGAACCAGTTGTGGTGGCTGGCCAGGACGGTCCTGTAGGCCGACTCGAACGGGTGCAGGAGAGGCTCGTCCCTCGGGAGGGGAATAATCGCATGCAAGGCGAGGGACAGATACTGAAGGTGGCGCTGCAGACACGTAAATAGAATCGTGCCGGAGACCGGATCAATATCCCCGACAGTGCCAGCTGCGTCCTCGAAGCGGATCATGCTGGAGAGGCTTTGATATTCCTCCCGATTTACGCCTTGGTGGCGGATCTCCAGATTTCTTATGCGATCTTCCAGCATCTGCGTCTGAACGGCGGCGAAGCTCCCGAAGTTACTCAGGAAGGCGTTCAGGAGGCGGTACATGCGGATGTACTCGGCGAGCACGATGTCCCCGTGACTGCGACAGCGAAGGATATTGACGTAGAGAAGCTGCAGCATCGTGGGCTTCATCTGGGAAGGGTGGATGGCCTCGCCCTCGCTGGCCTCCTCCGGCCGGTGCGGGTCATGCTCCTCCAGCGTGCCCTTGATCGATTCGTCCGTCTTAATGGCTTCGCCGGCCTCGCCCTCGCTGTTGCCATCGCCGTCTTCGTCGCCGTCGCCAGGACTGCCATCCGCATTGCTTTCTTCGGCCGTGTCGGAAAGGACGCTCATTATGTCCTTGAGGAGGTGCACTTCCTCCTCGACGTCGATGTTCAGTGGCGCGGAGTCGGCCTCGTCCGAAACGCTGGCCACGATCTGCTGGATGTCCTTCGACGCCTCCTCCATGGCGCTCGCCAGCTGCAGCCGCATGACCTCGCTGTCCTCGGACGACTCCAGGAACTCCTCCACAAGGGCGTAGGCCGGCTCCTCCGCCAGCAGGGACAGGTCGTCGGCCTCCACGTCGATGTTCTCCAGCGGGTAAACCACGGGCGAGGTCGCGAGGCCCACCAGCAGCCACACGATCATCATCACAGCGGGAACCAGCAGGAACAGCATCAGGAACAGCTGCAAGGAGGGAGCGAATATGATAACAATAATGTGCGCGATGCTCATTGGGCGAGAGATAAGGGGTACTATAAATACGAGGGGGTTAATCCGGGAGTAAATATATGCCTCGGAATGCCAAGACCAATTTCCAGGCTGACGGGATATACACGAGGCTCAAATTTATTAAGAGGAAGAAAAAAGAAAAGAAAAAAAGAAAGAAAAAAAACTTTTACACAAAACAGACAAGCTTAATTAAACAACTTTCGAGATAAGGTTATTTTTCTTCTCTCTCTTTGAACTGATAAGGTTTAGCCAGAAAAAATATATATGGTGCATTTTGTTGCTGCTTTCTGAGTTTCGGTCAAGTTTGGAAAGAAAGAATAAAGAAAAAAAAATGCAAGGAGGGAGATAGATGTTTACAAGACTCTTACAGACTCTTCAAGATATAAAAAAAACTAGCCTCCTTAAAGATGAAAAAAGGCTATCCATGAAAACGAACTGATAAATCATTCATCCAACCATTTTTGTTTTCTAAAAAGAAAAAACAAAAAGGGCATATTCCCATTTTCTCGATTTTTTTTTTTTTTTTTTTTTTTAGAGCGAAAGGTTACGTCCCTTCATTATTCACGCGAGGCGCCCAAAGCTTAGCCCGAACACGTACAAGACGAGATTCTCCCTCTGTCGCTTCTGCCTCTCGAAGTATTTTGGTTGGGGAGAGATTTTTAGCGGGTTTTCTTAATTTTTTTTATAGCCATTCAGATCATTTCTATATCACTGTTTTTAATTGTTGTTGCTGTATATTGATCTGTGTGTCTGTCTGCCCGCCTCATTGTGTGTGTGTGTGTGTGTGTGTGTGTGTGTGTGTGTGTGTGTGTGTGTGTGTGTGTGTGTGTGTGTGTGTGTGTGTGTGTGTGTGTGGTGGTGTGTGTGTGTGTGTGTGTGTGTGTGTGTGTGTGTACGTACGTACTACATACATACATACATACATACATACATACTACATACATATAAAACACACATGAATACACTTTTAAAATTGATGATATATGTATAAATACAGGTAAGATGCAAGTAAAGTTTTTCAAAATATATATTTCCTCCTACAAAGAATCGAAGACTTCCATATGTATACTTCCATCATATTTTCAGGTGTATGCATGTATACATATATGTATGTATATATTATATATATATATATATATATATATATATGTGCATTGTATGCGTATGTGTATATGTATGTGTATGTGTGTGTGTGTGTGTGTGTGTGTGTGTGTGTGTAGACAGACAGGCAGGCAGGCAGATAGACAGAGGCAGGCACAGATGAATAGACAAAAAGGTACAGCAACAATAGTAAAAACAGTTATCATTACGTATATATCTGTTTCATATGCTATGCGAAACGAAACAAAACTATCAATCTGTGTATTTTTTCCGCACAAAAAAAATAATAACTAAATACTTAAATCGTTGGATCGCAAAGGTGAGCTAATTTCAGTGAGTTAATATGAATACGTAGAGGTATGCACGCACCATCGATCTCCTTTCCCACGCTCCCAAAAAAGGTAAATAGATCAATAAAATACAGAAATCCTCACCACCAATGCAACCGTAGTCTTCACCAACAAAAAAATGTGATCATCACCACCTCCACGAACACCGACACCACCATCTTCATCTCCATTACTTTCACTAGATGCACCATCAGCATCCACCAACATCAAGGTCATCATCACTATCAACACCATTATATCTACCAGTATCATAATCTAAGTCATCACCAGTCACAGTCATCACCACCAGCATCATAGTCATCGCCCCCATAACCACTACCGCTGTCATCATCACCACCATCAACACAAACATCACTATCACCACCACAGTCATCGCCATCATCACCACCACCACCACCACAGTAATTACGACCACTCCACCACAATCATCGCCACCGTCACAGTAATCACCATCACTCCAGCATAGTCATCGCCCCCATCACCACCACCAACACAGTCATCACCATCAACACCACTCCTCCATAGCATCACCATCAACACCACTCCACCATAGTCATCACCCCATCCCCACCACCATAGTCATCCCCACTACCACCACAGCCACCGCCCCCCATCACCACCGACACAGTCATCGTCACCATCCCCACCAACACAATCCTCACCACCCTCTTCCCACCAATCCCACGCTGCCAGCCCCCCCCCCCCCCACACACACACACATGCAAGAGGCACAACGACGAGGACTCGCAGGACCAACCGCGGCATTCTAGCGCCCTGCACGGGACTCTCCTTTAAGGATGAGGTGCCCGAGCATCTGGCGCCAGGAAGTCCTTCGTACTCTCGCCACAGCTCCTGCCTCCTGTCAACTCCTTTCCCCCTCTTTCCTTCCTTCTATGCCCTTCTCCCTTCTCCTTCCTCCTCCTCCCTCCTCCTCCCCCCTCCTTCCTTCCTCCGATGCCATCCTCCTTTCTCCTTCCCTCCTCCTTCTCCTCCCCCCTCTCCCCTCCTTCCAGTTTCCCCTCCCCTATCCCCTCCTAGCCCTTCCTTGCATCACTTGCCCCCATG